ATGACTAAAACCAAAATTGCCGGTGTTTGCCCTCTTTGTGGGTCCAAGAGAGAGAGGCTGAGCCGCCACATTCAGACGTTCCACGGTGTCACCAACCCTCGTGAGAGGGACATCCTAAACCGGTTCGTCACCGGCCGGCGGGCCAAGTCTGGCGGAATATGCCCCATTAGGGGCTTTTCTTCCAAAGTGGACCACATCAGAAAGCACGTAATGATCACAAAGACATCACTAAAGACACGAAGGTGAAATTGCTACACAGGTTGGCCAAAAAAAGAGTGCCTGAAGGAGCTGGCGGCACTCAGGGCCTCCAGGGGGGGTCCGGGCTAGACCTTCGGCAAGCTAGACCTTCGGCCAAGCTAGACCTTCGGCAGGATGGTGTGGAGGATGATGGGGAGGAGTGCGGCCAGCCGCCTGTAGAGGTACACTAAAGAGAATGAAGCCAGAAGGGTGAACAGGCTGTTCGCAACACAACCTGCGAAGGTGTACGCTCAGTGGCAGGGTAACAACAGGGAGCAGACCCACAGAGGCTGGAAACTGAACAGTTCTGTAAGAACATATTGGAGAAGGATGCAGCACATAACAGCAGTGCACAATGGCTGGTGTCCCTGGGAGAGGAGCACAGCCACCTCCCCGAACAGAACTCAGTTACCATCACAGAGGCAGACATCGAGAAAGAGTCTCAGGTATGAAAAACTGGACAGCACCTGGCCCGTGCCTACTGGCTAAGGACACTCACATCACTCCATGAGCGCCTAGCAGCACAAATGAACCAGCTGCTGAGAGATGGGACTCTCAGCAGACTTACCCAGAATGGCTAACCGAAGGGCGAACGGTCCTGATAATGAAGGACCCTGTCAAGGGTGCAGTCCCCTCCAACTACCGGCCAATAACCTGTCTCTCCACAACATGGAAGCTCATGTCAGGCATCATTCTAAGATAAGTGGGCATATGGAACAATTCATGAGCACAGCACAGAAGGGCATTGGTAGAGACACCAGAGGAGCCAAACACCAGCTCCTGGTTGACCGAACAGTTGCCCAAGACTGCCGGTCACGACACACCAACCTGTGCACAGCCTGGATTGATTACCAGAAAGCCTACAGCTCAATGCCACACACATGGATCATGGAATGCTTGAAGTTGTACAATATCAACAGGGCTCTAAGGGACTTCGTTGCAAACTCGATGGGAATGTGGAAGACCACCCTTGAGGCAAATGGCAAGCCGCTCGCACAAGTGACCATCAAATGTGGTATCTACCAAGGAGATGCTCTGTCCCCACTACTGTTCTGCATAGGCCTCAACCCTCTAAGCCAAGTAATTGACCAGACTGGCTATGGATACCGCCTCAGGAACGGAGCAAAGATCAGTCACTTCCTCTACATGGATGACATCAAGCTGTACGCCAAGAGCGAGAGAGACATCGACTCTCTGATCCAAACCACCAGGATCTACAGCCATGACATCGGGATGTCATTCGGACTCGAGAAATGTAGCAGGATGGTGACTCGGAGAGGCAAGGTAGTCCACACAGAAGGGATCTCACTCCCAGAGGGAACAATAGCAGGCGCTGAGGACAGTTACAAGTATCTCGGTATACCACAGGCAAATGGCAACCTCGAACAGGTGACGAGGAAAGCAGCAACTGCCAAATACCTCCAGCGAATAAGGCAGGTCCTAAGAAGCTGGCTCAATGGCAAGAACAAGGCCCGGGCAATTAACAGCTACGCCCTGCCAGTGATCAGATACCCTGCAGGAATAATCAGGTGGCCAAAGGAAGAGATTCAGACCACAAATGTTAAAACTCGAAAGCTCCGTACCATGCATGGCGGGTTCCATCCCAAATCCAGCACCCTGAGACTGTACGTGTGCCGTAAAGAAGGAGGCCGAGGACTAGTGAGTGTGATAGCCACTATCCAAACTCCGTAACTACATCATGGAGAAGGCCAAAACGGATGACGTACTCAGTGAAGAGCAGTGCGAGATGAGGAGGTGCTGGAGGAGAGCCCATCATGGGAGAACAAGCCCCTACACGGCATGTACCAACGGAGCATAACAGAAGTGGCTGATCTCAAGAAGTCCTACCAATGGCTAGAAAGGGCTGGCCTACAGGACAGCACAGAGGCACTCATCATGGCTGCACAGGAACAGGCCCTGAGCACCAGAGCGATAGAGGCCCAGATATACCACACCAGACAAGACCCAAGGTGTCGGTTGTGCAAAGAGGCACCTGAGACGATCCAACACATAACTGCAGGGTGCAAGATGCTGGCAGGGAAGGCCTACATGGAACGCCATAACCAAGTGGCTGGCATAGTGTACAGAAACATCTGTGCAGAGTATGGGCTGGAAACCCCAAGGTCTAAGTGGGAAACTCCTCCAAAGGTGGTGGAGAATGAGCGTGCAAAGATCCTGTGGGACTTCCAGATACAGACCGACCGAATGGTAATGGCGAACCAACCTGACATCGTGGTGGTAGACAAAGGGCAGAGGACAGCCGTGGTGGTGGACGTGGCAATTCCAAGCGATGGTAACATCCAGAAAAAGGAACATGAAAAGCTTGAAAAATACCAAGGTCTCAGAGAGGACCTGGAGGGTAAAGGTGACAGTAGTGCCCGTGGTGATCGGTGCACTCGGGGCAGTGACCCCGAAGCTAGAAGAGTGGTTACAGCGGATCCCTGGAACAACCTCGGACATCTCGGTCCAGAAATGTGCAGTGCTAGGAACAGCAAAGATACTGCGCAGAACCCTCAAGCTCCCAGGCCTCTGGTAGAGGACCCGAGCTTAGAGAGGGATAACCGCCCGCGGTGGGCCAAAGGTGAGTGGACAATTTTTATTTAATATATATATATATATAAAAAATAAAATAAAAATTGAAGGAGCTGGCGGCACTCAGGGCCTCCAACCCGGACCCCCCCATGGTGTCCGAGCTAGACCTTCGGCAGGATGGGGTGGAGGATGACGGGGAGGAGTGCGGCCGGCCGCCTGTGTACGCAGGGTGGACAACCTCCTCACAGAGGTGGAGAGGCTGAAGGTAAAATGTTTTAGTCTGTTTATCTGACTCCCTATCTCTCCATATTTCTACATGTGTATCTTAATTCTTTGTACAGAGGGAAGTGGCGGAGCTACGTGGCGCTGGGGAGGAAGAGGCGGGACCCTCAACGATGCGGGCTCAGGTGGCCCTTTTGGAAGGGTTACGTTACGGCACCCTCCTATCTTTTAACATGGGGGGGGGGGGCCCGAACGGAAGTATTTTCCTCCTGTTTGTGAGAGTTTGCATACAACCCAGCTAATATCTGGTCGATTGCAAGTCATTGCATAGATAAGACTGCCCACAATCTTTCTGTACTCTCATTGGTTGACAGGCTCATTATTGTCATTTTCTGTAGTTGTGTCAACATCAGTTTTTAACTCACAAGGTGTAGACCTGGGTTTACACTCAGACATGCCAAAACGTTCAAGGATTTTCTCTATGTACTTTTTCTGATTCATTGTTATATCACTGTCTTTCTGCTCAAACTGTATCCCAAGAAAATAAGAGATTTTACCCAAGTCTTTCATGTTGAATTTGGACCTCATTGTTTCTTTGAATGCTCTTAATGTGTCAAGATTGCTGGCACAAATGATGACAAGTACAGTTTCGTTTTCTTTGCATTTTCTATAGACACAATGATCCGAAGGATTTCTCTCAAATCCATTTTGTTCCAAGTAGTCGTGTAAAAGTTTCTACCAGTTTCGTCCGGAAACTGGTACAGAGCCCATAAAGGGATTTTCTCAATTTGTACACCAGGCTCTTTCCTAACCCTGTTTGTTCAAAATCCTCAGGCTGATCCATGAATATTTCTTCCTCTATGGGAGCATGTAAATATGCTGTCTTGACATCCATTTGGTGAACAATGAGCTCGTTTTGTACTGCTATTTGCATAAGAGCACGCACCGATGTAATATTAGCGGTTGGTGCAAATGTTTCATGGTAGTCAATTCCTTCAGTTTGGCTATATCCTTTTGCTACAAATCTAGCTTTAAAGATTCTTCCCTGTTAATTTTCTTTAAGTGCATATACCCATTTTCCACCTACAGTGCTTCTACCTTCAGGTAATGTAGGCGGTTCAAATGTCCAATTTTCTTTGAGAGAGTCCATTCTGCCATTGCTTGCTCCCACCTGTGGGCCTCCTGTGACAGCAGGGCCTCTTTAAAGGTTTGGGGGATCCAACATGTTGCCCTGTAACAATAATCAACACTTACTTGAGAGGTTACAGGTTCATCTATACAGTTTGACGTGTAATCCTCCAGGTACTTTGGAGGTTTTGTTTCTCTTTTTGGATAACGTCTTTGTTGACTTTGTTCTTCAGTCCCTTCTGTGTCTGCACTGTGACAGTTTGGGTCACCTGTAACTTCCTCATGTTCCTGCAGTGCGTCACCTTCAGGAGCAAGCATGGGTCTTTTCTCAATTGTTTTGTAGATGTGAATTTGCCATTCTGCATCACTTTCTTCAGTCTGTGTTTCTTGTTCAACTTGTTCTGTTGTCCCTGCTTTAATAAATTTGCCTAACCTGTGTTTTGACACTTTTCCTGTGTTTGAGTTATATACTAGATATGCAGGGCTATTTTTACTATACCCAATAAATATTCTCTTTTCACACCTGGGATGAAGTTTCTTATGATCATGAATGTATGCATAACACTCAGATCTAAATATCCACAGTTTGGACGGATCTGGTCTTTTGCCTGTGAGAATCTCATATGGTGTACTTTTAGTTCTGTTATTGTAATACCTATTTCGAGTATGAGCAGCATTTTGTATGGCGTAAGGTCACAGTGATTTTGGTAACCCTCTTTCAGGCACCTCCCCATCTCAGAGTGTTCTCCATCGTCTCTCAGCTGTGCCATTTTGATGAGGAGAATATGGCGCAGAGGTTTCGTGTTTTATACCCCTGTCTCTTAATAATGCCTGAAAGGAGCTACTGGTAAATTCAGTGCCATTATCTGATCTAATGCACTTGACATGGCCATAAGGTGCACTGTCCACTAGGAACATTTCTGTTGCAGCTGTGGCTTCATTCTTGTGTTTGAGGAAATAGACTGACACTGCCCCTGAAAAATCGTCTGTGAAGAGTATAGCATACTTATGACCACCGTGACCATTGGGATCAATGGGGCTGGCTAAATCTGTATGCACTAGTTCTAAGTGCCATTTGTGAATTTCCCTTCTGTGCAAACGTTACATTCTAGTTTTGTATTACCTGTGATTTTCATTCCCTCTACAACATCTGGTAACTTGCAAATGTCGTTAACATTACAGTGGCCCAAGATCTTGTGCCATGTTTTCACATCACATGTCAGATGTACACTGTCACAAGAACCCATGTCCTGAAATGAAGAGTCATTGTTTACTGTTTTCAAGTAGTAAAGTCGATTGTATTCTTCAATGCTGAATGCATTTCCATCTTTGTTGATGAGTTGGTTGTGCCCTTTCTTGAACACTATCTGGGCTCCGAAGGCAGTAGCTTCTTTTACAGAGAATATGCTCTGTGGATAGGATGGGATGAAGAGGGCATCCTTCAGAGTGACGTTGATCCAGTTGCCCTGCTTGTCCTGTAGAGCAACTCTGGCGTCCCCCCTCTTCAGTGCCACATTGTTGGTCCTGGATCCATCGGCGAGTTCCATGTAGTGTTTCTAAGGTCAAAGGTCTTATCAAACTCGATGAACTTATTCTTTTCAGTAATAATGTGTGATGTGGCTCCACAGTCCACCATTAGTCTTTCTTACATTATGTCTGTGGGTGAAAGTCTATTACTGATCTTAAACACAAAGGTTTGTTCTTCTTTCTTGTCTTCTTGTCTCTCCGCTATTTGTTTAGCATCATCTTTGTTTTTATTCTTCCTCCTACATGTCTCATCACTATGTGTAGAACTTCGATGGTATCTGCACCACTTTGGGGCAGCCTTTTGGGGGCAGTCTTTGGCAATGTGCCCGCGGTTTCCACATCCATAACACGTAATGTTATGTTGACTTTCATAACATTATCTGCTTTTGGTTTATTTTCAAACCTCTCTGTCTCATCGTAGCTTCGTAGGTTACTCTTGAACTGTGTGAATGTTATGTCTTCTTTGCTTTGCGCTGTATGAATGGCAAATGGTTTGTATGCTTCTGGAAGTCCTTTCAGAATCATTGCAATAATAAGACCGTCGCTGATTACTTCATTTGCATTTCTTAGTGAAAAGTCCGTAACAGGTTCATCTGATCTCTTTTGTAGGGATGTGAGCTTGGTGTACAGCGCAATGATTCTGGGCTTACCCTTGCTTGCGTAATGGTCCCGTAAAATCTTAAGGGCTTTCCTCCCATCATCAGCTGCATCCCGCATGACCAGGGATAGACTTGTGTCGTCAAGAAACTGAATGAGTTCAGCATAACACTCTGCATTTTTGTCGGCATCAGGGTCGGTGGTTGAGAGTATAATGTTCTTCAGCCCGATAATGAGTAAGTGGCCAAGAAATTTACTTCCCAAAGTTCGTAGTAATTTTCACCTGGGCCCATAACCTGTTGCGTGTGCAGCATTCTCTTGTGCGTTTCCTTCAACAGACATGGTTAAATAGGCACCGACACGTATAGTCTTTCTGTCCTTTATTTGCAAGGTGAAGAGCGCACATCCATGCTGTGAAAGTTTCGCGCTTCTCTCAATAATGCGGCAACAGGAAGTAAAAGACAAAGAACACTTCTAACAGGAAGTGCCAAAAATAAAACAAGGGCTCTTCAATATGAAACATACAATGACACAATTCAAAGCGCATTACATAACACAAAACAAAGTAAATAGATGAGAGCACTGATTTTAACAGTGCTATTTTCATGATACACACACACATACTTGTCTTTATCATATTGTAGGGACACCAGACCAGGACATGCATTGTGGGAACCAGCCTATCTGTAGGGTTTACAGCAGCCAAAAAATATCAGGCATGGCCCCCTTGAGCCCCTGAACGGTAATACCACCTCAAAACCCAAGATTTCCCAAAAAATGTCCCACACCAGACTGTTACTATATTTCTGGGGACTTAGCAGGTATTTATATACTTGTGATGCCCAATCTTACACACAATTAGGTTTTTACTTTTTGCCCCACACATACACTTTGTCAGGTGTTTAGCTACTTTTAGCCCCACACATACCAGGACATCTGTACAACTGTTTGGATTTTCTGTTGTTGATAAAGCAACAATTTCTGTTATGACCTCATAGACAACTGTTGTGATTTTGGACGTTACAAAATAAATTGACTTGAATTATTTATTTGCAGCCGAGTGTGAAGCGGCTGGGATGAGAATCAGCACCTCCAAATCTGAGGCCATGGTGCTCGACCGGAAAAAGGTGCCTTGCCCTCTACTGGTGGGTGGAGAGGCCCTTCCTCAAGTGAAGGAGTTCAGTGGATCAGTGCAGCGTGCGCAGTGATGCGGTCGCTGTATTGGACCGTTGTGGTAAAGAGGGAGCTGAGCCGAAAGGCAAAGCTCTCGATTTTACCGGTCAATCTTCGTTCCCTCCCTCACCTATGGTCATGAGCTTTGGGTAATGACCGAAAGAACGAGATCGCGGATACAAGCGGTCGAAATGAGCTTCCTCCGCAGAGTGGCTGGGCGCTCCCTTAGAGATAGGGTGAGGAGCTCAGTCACACGGGAGGAGCTCGGAGTAGAGCCGCTGCTACTCCACGTCGAGAGGAACCAGTTGAGGTGGCTCGGGCATCTGTTCCGGATGCCTCCTGGACGCCTCCCTGGGGAGGTGTTCCGGGCACGTCCCACCGGGAGGAGGCCCCGGGGAAGACCCAGGACACATAAAATGTAATGTTTATACATTTGAGAAAACAACCCTTTCAGAAGGGCCATTAGTAGAATAACATCCACAAACTGTTGACTAAGAAAATAACCCCTTCAGAAGAAGGTTAAATTAGTAGAATAACATCCACAAACCTATAACTATTACTGTTTACCGTGCCATATACTAATATTGGCATCAGTGAACGTGTTTGAACAAAAACA